TATTACAATAGGGAAACGGTTCCTAAGACATCTTTGGAAAGTCAGTTTAACGGAAAATATTATTGCAATTATTTTCTAAAATGATCTGATTGTTACAATTAAGATAAGTAAAATATCGATTACATATACCACATTAATTAATATATAGAAGCATGATCGTTGGTATAATTTGGATATATCTTATCATCTCTATAGACAAGCGGTTACATTTAGAAATTGCCTTATTACTTCCTGCACTTTGTCTCGTTGGTAAAGTTTCAAATTCATATGAAAAAATATATATGTATCTGAAGAGTTTATGTCCAAAAATACTAATCTAAAAAATGTGTATATAATTCAAAGCAAAATTTGTGTTAAAAACAAGTTTTATTGAAAAATATTTTACTGACAATGGGCGATAAACTCTAGAGTTTAATCAAAGTAGATTCCAAAACCAAATTAAAAAGAAAATCAAAGCACACAACTCTGTTATTAGTTGACCCGTCGAAAGGTGATTTACTCCTTCAAGGCGCCTGATCCCCCAGGGGTCTGTGTTTTATGCCATGTTTAACGTCTTGTATTTGTAGACTTTTGTTTGATCAACTGGTGTTCGCGATCTTTTCTTTTTTTTATTTCAATCCACGTTATTCAAATGAAAGGAAAATAATAAATATAATAAACGGGCTGTATTAAAAATTAGAGGTTTAAAAAATAATATCACCGTGGCTTATGTATGATAAATAAGCAACTTGAAGCCGTTTCAGCGACCTTTTTTCTTCTACTCATTAATATCATATAAAAGTATCACACTCTTCTTGTCTCACCTGCGTAGAACAAATTACTTATTAAAAGGAAATGTAGAGTAATGAATAACAAGGTATCAGATGAACTTTTTCACCTTTAAAACTACTAAGGGTTCTAAATTAGCTGTTCCAACACACCTCGAAATTGCCAGATCGAACTTGTTTTTCTTAAAAGGTGAAATAAAGTATCTTGCTTAAAGCCTAATTACTAACTATTTAAATACAAACACATCAATAATTCAATGAGGTTGAGGTTGTTCCTTTAACTTTTATCAATTTTTATTTCTGTTCTCAATGTTCTCGTGAACTGTTCAGAAATCCATGTTACAGTCGACAAACTTAATTAATTCTTCACCTTGACCGGTCAGCAGGGGATACTCACTCCTCCATGGAACCTGATCCCACCTCTGATGATTTAGAGGTCAGTGTTTGCTCTGCTACTATTTTTATGGACTTTGATATTGAATACTGTTCTTTATCTCCTCACTGATGAAAACATATCTAGGTTGAATGCAAAATGCAATTTAGCCTGCTTCTCAAATCAAACAAATAATATTAGAAATCTACCTTGGCATATAATACAGGTATTACACACGTGTCTCCTTTTTTACTTCTCATCCGTTTTGCAATTACCTTAATTATCACTTACAGTCTAATGACTTTTATAAATAAAGTCACGTGAGTTAGGAAGTCCATACCACGGTTGTTTGCTGACGCCAGATGCAATAAAAGATAAGGTCTTATTAGTAAAGGAAATACGTTATCGTTTAAACCAAACGTTTTTCGATTTCCAAATGGGCATCATTGTGTATTTAATGGTGTTAGAACTAAATGAACTTATTGCTTTCCGGGAAAAATTGGTCTGGAATTCCTAAATTCATAACAGTATACATATTTGCTTGACTAGACAGTAGTATACTCTGCGACACTTCCGGTGCCAGTGCAATTAAATGTACTTTTCCTTTTTCCCGAGTTATGTTATTAATTTGATTATGCTTTTATGCAATCCTTTATAAGCTTTACATATTACAAACCAAGAAACTTCAACATATTAGTCCACAGCGTTGAGCAAGATCAAATTCCTCTCTTTAGAAAGTACACCAGTTGTGATTTTCAATTCTTGATTAAGTCTCAAACCTTAAAGAGAAAAAATCCTAAATTATAATGACAGGCTTATATGTGGATATGTTATACAAATACTTTTGTTATTATTTTTTTTCTCCCAAAGTTTCCTTTAGACAACTTTCATTTGCAAGCTTAGGTTATCTACGGGCACTAGGGATGTTAAAATCTGCATGCTATATAGATAAAAGACATGTTCTTATTTATTATCTGTTCATATCTAAGCAGAATATGATTTATATCTATTTTCAAAATTGTATATATATATATATATATATATATATATATATATATATATATATATATATATATATATATATATATATATATATATATATATATATATATATATATATATATATATATATATATATATATATGTGTAGGTAGGAAGAGATTTTTTTCCTTTTTTGTTCATCTCCTTTTTTTGTTCATTTCCTTTTACTAAAACAAGGAGTAGAAATCATTAAAAAAGCTAAATCAAGGGTCAAATTTATGAAATAGTGTATAAGGAGATTTCAAGTTCAATTAACAAGTAGCATATTCTTCTTAGAACATTTATAATATACCAAAGACAATATGTCCATGAATATTTTTTTAATTGATACATAAGGCTAACACAGTCATACATGAAAAATCATTTTCTTTGAATACTTATGTATGCTCATTTTTGTGAATTTGGCGTGCCATAGAAATCATTAAAAAAGACAATTTATAATGTATCAGGAGATTTCAATTTCAATGACCTTAGGAAATTTATAATTGATTGCTAATATACATAACACAGTCATATATGAAAAAAATCATGTATCATTACAAAAACCGTGATAGCTAATATAATTTATCATTAAGCCAATTGCTGAATGACGTTTTTATACAATTTTGTGGGTCATTATTTTCAAATTGAATTGTCTATGGGAATTAACGTACTCCGAATCATGACAATGAGCACACGGTGAGTGTGACTGTAAAGAGAAGATGCTTTCTCATCCATGGGACCTGATTCCACCACTCCATATTGAGAGGACTTGTTTCCTGAGCTTATATAAATGTCAAAATTTCCAGCTATACATTATCATTTTGTCCTTTAATCACAAAATCAAATCCTCATGAATTAGATCATTTTGTTCCCTTTCAAAGATTTGAATCATTTTCATTCCTGAAAAATATAATAAATACAATAAAACGTTTGTCTGTTAAAATTGTTTTATTTCCTGTTAAGTGTAAATTTAAATTTTGAAAAGAAAAATCAATCAGGTTTGTTTCAATTTATCGCTGCTAACAGATTTAGAACAGTTTGAAGACTGTTTCCGTATTTTACGATACGCAGGGAGTAACTGAATGCAGGTAAAATATTTTTTAAAAATTAAATAAGGGAAGATTTATGGTCCATATGACAGAAAATTGTGGAAATAGGCAGGTCAACATGAAAGTCTTGATAATTTTTTGTTGAACAACATTAATTTGCTATTGTGTTATTACAAGTTATTATAATTGTTAACTAATTGTGATATAATGTTAAGCAATTTTTGTTTCTGTATTCTATAAATGCCAAAAGGACATTGATGTCAATGTAAGACGTCATCTCCACTTTTTAAGAATTGTTACATAAAGAATACAACACAGTGGTCCCTGAGATAACCATAACTTCTCATCTTTGAAAAGGAATAGAAAACAGCTCTCCTGTTATGCATCCTCAGTAGATTAAAGTCTTTGCGTCTCTTTTTATGATTTAGGTTTAACTTAATCTCTCCTTTCTCTCTCCTTCCCTCCCAAATAAACAAATCAATTAGTTAATTTGCCAGGAAAGTTTAACGTGATTACAGAAAAAAGGACTGGTTGTATATTGATTAACAAGTTGCTATCTCCACTTTAGAAAACTTTGAAAACCCAAAGTAACCAGTTATTATATAATATTCCCGAAAAAATGTTTACAGATTTCATAAGTCTACTCTTGTCATAATTGTGAAAGATTTGGACTTAAGACTAGTTTTATATTTAGATATTTTTGAATATTTATAGTGTGAGATTGGGGATCATCAAATATTTAGTTTAGACAAATCATTGTCTGGAATGATTATCAAATGGATGAAAGGGAATACATGAGTCTAATTGATTTTTAGAGTTTTTATACTTGACTAAACTAGTTAATCATACCAATTGTTATATCACAGATTACAAAAAACATTTATTTTCTGTATATTTGCATAATATTTTTACTATATCCGTTTTACATCTTGTTCGTTAACAATTGACTCTTATGTACACATATACTAACAAAGTACTTTTTGTTTCTTTTATGTTTGTGTCTTTTATTTCAGAGTCAGATACATATAGTCTAAAATGTTCTTTGCTCCAGTGTTTTCTAGTTTTACCAGTAAGTACTTGATGTTCTGGTTGAGTTCCTATTTATTTTTTTAAAGTGGATAATGTGGATAATTTGAGAAAAATAGAGACTTTATAAAAACACATAGTAAGAATTTTATGTTTAATCTAATGTTATGTTTTCACTATAATTGTGATTTTATTAGAAGCCAGAAAGTATTCAAAATAATAAATTACATTTAGATTAAAGATAACAGCAGTACGTATAGATTCTGTACTACGTTTAATTCTGAAAAATAGCTACATGATCATTACTTTTCAATCAAAACTGCTGTATTTTGATATTCTATCCAATTTAATTTTGTTACTTGTTCAGAAATTCAACAAAACCATGTAAGATTTTTTCACGCAGTATCTTTAATCATTGCTTCTGAGATAATTTTTCTTTGAAATAAATACACCCAGCCTCTGAACAAACAGAGTCGAGTGGCTTCATCAGGACTCTATGGGTATTCATTTGTTAAGAGTACACCAACGGGCATTTTGATTCATGCCCAATGCAAACATAAGCGCTTTATGGATAAATATACTCCTCGTTCCAATCAGAGGAGAATGACGATGAATTAAGTGGAAGGCCAGCTTGCAAAGCCACCTTCTAACTTATTCCCTCCTGATAGCTATCCATAAATCGCGGCAAATTGATATAATTTTGAATACTTGTCATAAATACCTCATCGATCGTATTCCCTCGTCATAGTTAATTATTTGCATGCCGCGCCCCCTGGTGGAAGGAGACCATCTGAGTGGGAGATATGATAAATATAAGTAAATGAAAGAGCGCAAAATCAAGTGCTTCAATTTCTTTTGTCTGTACAATCTTAATTGGATTCTCTAATTACCCTAAATTTTAGCAGACAGACCGTGTATAATAAATGGTATTAATTCAATTTTGTAAGATATCTATCTTCCATCTAAAGCATAAGAGTTTCAGGATCCCTACTGCCTGCTAGCTATAATACAGTGCTGTTATGTTGTGCAGTTCTGTGAATATGAATTTTTACTTCGGTGTAGTATGGATTCTTCTTATTTCACTAAATCTGGGAACTTGCATGTATTATGCAGGTAAGTCAATAATGTAGAACTTTATTCTTACCATCAACAAAGGAACGAAAAATACTATTTTTATTATCGACGTATTGAATAACGTTATCCAAGATCAATTTTTATTTATTTGTTTTTTGGTTGCATTTTCGCTTACAAAGATTTTTCAATTTGATATAATTCTATCTTTGAACACATTTCTTATTTTAAGGATTATAAAAAAGGTTTGGATCCGTGAGTGAAAAATACTAGTACCAATTTCAGTAAAAATCTATAAAATTTTATGAAAAATATCTAAAATCAGAGAATAAAAAGTAAAAATTTAGTAAATAGAAATCAAAGCTGTCTTTTTCTCCTCAAAAATGCGATGACAGAAGAGTATTTATATTGGTAATTCGTAGGAAGCAGCAAATGACCGTTTCTTACGAAAGGATTCGATCATTATAGGAACAGTATGACACTGATTGAGTACCGTATAATACAGAATCAATTGACCTCATCTCGTCTCTATAATTGAAATCCAATTGTTAAGGCAGGTTGGTGACAGGTTGCTCCTCATTAATACAATAATGAGGGAGAGCAAATGCCAATAATTTGTAATATTGTACTGAATTAAGGAGAATTTAATATGGAAGTATCTTCAGCTTAGAAGGTTCCTTGTATGCATGGAAACGTTCTTTAATTGAAACCAAACTTTAAAAAAGGGTGTAGAAAATTGCATTTTCATTCAAAGTTCTTATGAAAACGTGAAAGCAGTTTGAATTTTACAACAAATAATTTAAGATATTCCAAATAATATAATGAATAGAAATCGATCCTTCAGAAGACATGAACAATTTATTTAAACATTATTCAGACATTCGTATCATCGCATTTTCATAACCATTTCCATTTTGAACATTGAAATTACTACGGACAAAATTTGTAATCAAATCAAGGATTTTTGTGAGAAATCTTTCTGTATTTTCAATATCAGTTTGTTACTGCACTTAACCAGACTATTTAAGGAGTGTTCACATTGTAAGGATGATGCAAATTTAGAAGAAAACCCTTTCTTTATACCAGGATATAGTCATCCTATTCAATCATTCTGTTTAGATCAATATTTATCCGAGAAGTTCTTGCGGATTTTCTCGAGTAATTGATGCACTTTTCATGCTCGTAGCATCTTATTGGCAGTAAAAAGATACCCAAATCAAAAGCCTTAATACTGGAGTAATATTGATGCAGAAATTAAAATTCAATACCTCTCCGGATTTCCTAGATTTTGTAAACATGGATAATTTTTCAATGCACTTTTAAGGTCTTTCAGTAATTAGCAGGAATGGAAGACACTGTGATTCTATAGGAAGATTTATCCTTGTTGAAGCATCTTTAGGGAAAATGAGTATCTCAACTTAAAACTTGTTTGTGTTATCTTCATATTTTGGTAATTTTGAGCTCAAACAAATCCAAGTCAATCAGAAGAAATATGGAGATAACAACAAACAGTATTCAAGGTCAAAAGTCATTAGAAGGATAAAGTGTCATGGAGGAGTAAGCATCCTCTGCCGACCGGACAAACCCGACTTGTGTTCCCTGTCATTACCGGGATGAAATCCGTGGACAATTGATTGTGTGAATAATGGCCTTATTATTAATATGAAAAATGTCAATCAGTAAATAAATAAATGATGAATTGATTTTGTTGACGAGGTCATTGTATTGACCATAGAAGTTGAAAAATGATGACTGTGAACGAGACTCTTGATATTCTTGTTACATTTACTTACCTGTAAATAGTTTACCTTGCTTCAAAGTTGTTCTTATACAGAACATGTTCTTATTCATAGGCCTAACTAAGAGACCTCATATATATTCAGGTGATAAGGGTATATTGTTACATTAGTATAGGAAGTTGACGATTGAAATTTTGAAGTCATCATTTTGTTATGAATTGGTATTAGGTAACCTTTAATGTCTTTTTCTAAATTCTAGTAAAATATCCAATTAAAAAGTTCAGACTTCGTGGCGTCTTGTTATTTAAAGTCACTGGGAGTATATCGAGTCTACGTATGGAACTATTTTTAATGGATATTATACGTCGTCGATAGGTCTTAATGTCGAGTTGAAGTTTATAACAATGGTGTCCTTTTTCTCATGTATAAGATAGTGAATTACTTTTCCTTCTTATGAATACAATATAAGGTCTGTTGATAACGGGGAACATCTTTTAAAACTACATAACTTACAATAAGAAACTCGAGATTCTTTTGAACATCTACTACAGAGTACATCTGTGTACAACTATTGGCAATTGCTGTATGAACTGCAAGATGACCTTAAAGTCGCCTAAATATAGCTGTGAAAGGTGTTCAAAATGCCTCCGATAGTTTGCAAAATGTACCCGATAACGAGATAATTTAATATCTATCTAACGTTGACAATATGTAAAAAAGGTTACTACAGGAGTAATGAAGACCAAACAGTTACACACTCTTCTTCTCTGCTTCTTACAGTGATTCTGCTACGTGCAGTTGTTCGATATGTACCAAAACATTGATTTTAGACATTGATATGGTATTAAGTTTAATAAATTCTAACATTCGAATATGACAGAAATTTACTTAAGAGAAAGCTATCAATGCTGAACATGTCTGGTTTTTTTTTCCGTGTCGAGATTATATTTAATTAAAGAAATCCTGAGAAATACTATCATGTTTGATTGATCGTACCAAAAATGTAATGGAAGATAATGAACAGTCATCATTCTCAGATAAACATTATTCTCTAAAGTCCATCCCAACAATACCAATGTTGAGAACAATCAACAAAACATATATAACAACACCTCTGATATATTTTATCAAAATGTCGAATCAAAGACAACAGAATGAGCTTACTTCATTCCATGTAGACTTTTTAAAAATTAATTTTGCTTCATAGGAAAAAAGAAACAGGTCTGTTAATAATGGAACACGGCAAATTCTGTTCTGCCACTGTTAGTGGGCCTAAACTAACTCTGACTTCGGATTACTATCTGTTTAATGTAATTAAGCAAAACAGAGGGAACATTGCAGAAGTGACCGTTCGAAAGGGGATGCTTTTTCCTCTTTAGCCCCTGATCCGACCTATTGTGTTTCTAGAGATCCTGCTTTTGTCTAGTTCATGATTCGTACTTTTACAGGATTTAAGAGGTTGATTTCTGCTCGTTACCTTCATTTTCCCCCCATTTTTATGTGTAATATCGACAGAGGTGTTTATATTCTTAGCTTTTAATTGCAGAGGATTTGGCTACAATAACTATAAAATTCTTAATGGTGAGAAGAATATCTGAAACCAATTCATCGCCTATGAAAGCGTAAAGTAATGTTTGCATCCAATGGTTTTTATGATGAAAAGTCCGTTTTACACAATAAAGGTTCCACTTTGGTAGGAGACTAAAGTCATCAATCGACATTTATATGGAAAGTTCGGTTGTGTTAATGTGCTACATTTCATACTTTGACGTTTTGATATCCCTTTATGAGTTTTACTGGATTTCCCTTCCTAGAACACTTCAAATCTAATCCTAGGAAGAAGTAAGTTTTTATGCTGGGTAAGAATCGTTTTTTTGAAAATCCATTTAAGCAAAATAAGATATAAAAAGTACATCTTTTAAATTTTTTATTGAATCATGATTTTTTATAATGATGTATGAAGACAAAGAACATTAATATATCTCAAAAGTCTATTGAATCAATTCAAAGTGTAGGCAAAAGAAATACATACTTCTAAAATCATTAGAGGTGAGATCAGGTGCAATGTTGGAGTAAAATTCCTTACAATAATTAATCATTAAAAGTTAGTTATAAATTAAAATGATGAATAAAGATCTCTAAATGAAAAAAAAAATTCTGTATACACAGTGTTATTTACGTTATGAAATCCATTGAAAATCTTCAATATTTAAACCTCCTAAGGCACTCATGAAACCTTGCATCGGCGCTATAGAATAATAGGAACGTTCTTTACACTAGGATAAAAAATATATGCAGTGTTTTGGATCAATTTTATTAAATACAAATTGCCTCTTAAATTATTGTAAGATGTAATTGTACATATAGAATGATATGTCATTTTCCCCCTTGCAATATTAATTTGTGGTATTTAACATTCGAAGTCATATTGGCTCAATTATTATTTTATCTACATATGTATAAAAATATAATGGTTCATTCACAATCTATGTTGAGCTTTTGAAAAGGGGGCTTATTAAAAAGCCCTTAATGGTAATCTAACAACCAAGCTTTATGATAAACGTGATGACTACTGAAGTATAACTTTTACAACCGTTAACTTCTCTTACTTATCACCTGCATACGGAGTTTACATATCTCAGTTGATTCGCTACGCAAGAGCATTCTCTACGTATAAACAATTTTTTTAAAGAGGTAAATTATTGACAAACAAGTTGATGAAACAAGAATATCAGCAGTCTCGTTTAAAGTCATCATTTCGTAAGTATTATGGTCGATACAATGACCATGTCAGCAAATACAATTTATCATTGAATCAAATGCTGACTGACGTTTTTTATACTAATACTAGTCCATTATTTATACACTGATTTGAGAAACCTGATCCCACCTTTGATGTTTTGGAGGTCCGTGTTTGCTATGCTCCTATTTTGTATTGTTTTATGAACTTTTGATTTTGAATACTTTCGTTATCTCCATATGTTTCATTATTGATTGTTTGAAATTCTCTGAATGATTAAGTTACATGTATATTGAGACTCATGTACAGATTATATCTTAATTGTGCAGTTAATTTTATATAAGGTATAAAGTTACAAATATTAACATTGCAAACGGTAGGTTGAAACTTAAACGGGTGTTATAAAACGAAATTTCGTGATGTTTAATTCATATTACCGGTATGCCATATTTCTGTTTTCACTTTAAGTATAAACCTGAGGTGAAACATTGAGTTTAAAGCTTCCGATTATTCAACAGGTCATATTCTACTCTTGCATGATATAAAAGATGAATTGAATCTAAAACACCTATATCAAATTGTTTTAAAAGAAAAATCGTTGTCAAATGGATTTTACTAAAGCGGAGATTAAAATACATTTGAATAATGATTAAACAAAAGACAAGCCTCTTTGGAACCTTGAATAGGCTTTTGAACATCAAACGGAAAAACATACATTTGGAGAATGTTAATTGAGATTGCTATTGACACTACTGAGATCAATTTTTTTTTAGTTTTCATTTTATGTGTTTTTTAAGTCGCTTTTCACTGTCTCTACAGAGACTTATTGAGAAATGATTTTCTATTGTATCGATCCTGTGCATTTCATTTCCTCATCGAGCTAATTGTGTGTTCTTATATGTCACGCTAGATGGATTTCTATTTGAACTTGGAAAATGAGAGAGGGAGAGAGAGAGAAGGGGGGGGGGGAGAGGTTCAAAACATGATGTTTGAAGCATTAAGATGTGTTTTATTTTATTAATCTTTTAAATATTATAAAATTGGATATATCGATCATTACCTCATGTTGGTACTGTACATGTATCTTAAATTTAATTTAAATATACACTAGACAAAATTACTAACGAACCACCAGATGAAAGTAATATTTTACTTTTCAAAACTTGTTTAAGTTGTATTTGATATATTATTACGTTACAAAATCAAAACTAAAGCATTTAAATATCTTAATTGATAAATAACTACAATGTTAAATGAAGCGTGACCATTTCATAGAAAACATAAAAATCGTGTCCATACTAATTTGGAGGGATAAATTTCTAATTTTTTCTTTGCATATTTGTTTTTTATGTTTGTATATTTAGAAAATTATAAATAAAATTATACCGTATGCGGCATTTGATCCCAGGAGATTTATAAAACAGACAGTATGGTGTCTGCAGGGGGTTCCTTTGGAAAGATATGTAAAAAATTAAAACAGTGTAAACAATATTTATTCTTCTGGTGAGAAATTGTTGCAGATAGATTAGTAGACATAAAAATGTTCACTCTAGATAGCCAGGCCATTAAGTAAACACCACACCGCAATTTCAATGTCGTTCTACAAAATTCGGGCAACCGGAAGTTGAGTGGACTGGGTATGGACCCCAAGGCATTGGATAACTAGCAGGCGATATAATAGTCAATCACTGCGTATTATTTTATTTTTTTAACTGGGAGACTGTTTCTGGTGTAACCTCAAGGACCATCACCGGTAATTAGCAATGCATATATTTGGGCAAAAAAGAAGTACGCAAAGCATGACGGGAAATTGGTTTTAGCAAGAAGGTCGTTTTGGGGTTTTGTTTTGAATCAAAGACATTTGCCAATCCCATTGAATTGGAATATATGACGTTTTATATATACTAATACCGATTAGCCAAATGTTCAATTCACATAGATGAATTTTAAGTGGTGCGTTAGCAATTTTGTCTAGTGTATTAGTTTAGAATTTAGATAAAGTTGATATTTTTCATTTCAGATTATGATGATGATTATTATAACGAACACAGGGCACTAGATCTATTCAAAACAATGCAAAGGTAAGAAATGGGGAATTTAAGGAAGATGTGTTCATCAGAAACAAATATCTGGACAAATGCAGACTTTGTGCTAAAGAAGCTTGTGTAAAATGATGAAGGCTTTTGTATTTTGACTAATTTTTTTCAGGTCATTTTGTACTTGTATATTTACAAATAATAAATAATGAGGACTTTAGAGTCAAAATCCATAATTTAATTTCCTCCATATCATTTATTTAAACAATGAAATGCGTTCTTGGTTTGTTAGAAAGGGAATCGTATTAATGTCGAGGCTGTGGCAGAAAAAAAAATGCATAACCCGCGTAAGCAATATCTACGACGCTTATTCCTGAACTATTATCAAAACAAGACATTTTTTAAAATTATAAATGTTTTTGCATCTGTATGAAAAACAAATCGATGTAAAATATGTTAAATATTGTATTATAGAGTTTATGTCATTGTATGCTTAACTTATGGAACAGCATATGTTCAAGAAATCTATGCAGGTGGCTTGCTTAGTGTATTTTATGGACTGATTAACCGAAATGGTCTGCAGAAGAAATAAAAGAAATAATATGAAATGGCCAATGGATGTAAATATATTCTACAATATATGGTAAAGCTACCGCCATATCTTTTTGTGAGTAATTTTCTGAACTTGTTACTTGCATGTGGACCCTAACAACCATAGGTACATAAATAGTGAATAATAACAGTCTGAAAGCAATAATTATTGAATGAAATTTATGGAGAAAACGAACAGTATTCAAGCTCAAATGTCCATTAAAGAATCCAAGCAATTTGGAGCAGAGCAAATATGGACCTCTAAAACATCAGAGTTACTGGGATCAGGTACCATGGAGGACTAAACATCCCCAGCCTACCAGGCACATCCGCTGTTTTGATATAGAAATATGATAACTCTGAAGTGAAGTATATTTACCTGAGAGTAGTATTTTAATAAGGGTAATGTTTAAGCGAAGCAATAAAGATTAAGAGTCACTATTTACGTGTCTACTTTTGCAACAAAACGCAGAAGGTATTTAGTGTCAATAAAGTACCATTTTATGTCAGAGTGTAACTGTATCGTGAATGATTGTCGCTTATATAATGAGTAGTATTGAAAAATACCCTAGTACTTAAGTTCATCAAACCTTACCTTTTCAAATTTTGTTTTGAATATAACCTTATTAATTTCCATATTTATTATAAGGATTTAAATATTCTGATGTGTTAGAAAAACGATTCAGAATGTTTAAGCGTCGCGCTGTTAAGAAGTTGCTCTCTTGCATTATACAGAACTATAGAGTTTCACTTTATACGACGCGGACATCTTTATTTCAATAAGATTTGACGCTACATGCAAGTCGCGTTGTCTTCATGTTGTTTCACTATAATAGGAAATGTTCATTATAGTATACTTTCACCGTATAATAGAAATAAAAAATAGCCCATATTCCTTTGTGATTAGTATTTCGTATAAAAAATTTCTCCTTAGATCTAATCATTGTTTTTCGTCGATATATAACATGAGCGATTTTATAATAATGATGTTTCATGTATGCTCTCAAGATAAATGTGTTAAAATGATACGTATCGATAATTTTCCATTAGCCTAAGGACATAAATGTCAATGAAATGGATACGCTCCCTCTTTCTTATATCTTCTTTTGATTATAGCTCTTGATAAAGAAAAAACAACTATGCTATAAGTTTAACATTGTGTTTTATTTAGAGTTGTAGAACAAAACACCAGACAAAATGGCTAACGCGCCAATTGTTATTCTCGTTTCTTAATTGAACATTTGCCTAATCGGCACTAGTATATCTAAAATGCTGCCAAATTACCCAGTGCTGTAGAATGGACAAATCTCTTGGTGTCATGACAGTTAAGACCTTTAAATGATCCGCTGCCGGAAAACCAATATCCTGAGGTACACTGTGCGCCGTTTTGGTCCAGATTTGCTGAATGTGGCCAGTGCATGAGGTTGCAACAGAAGCATCCCAGTCAAAAATCAAATTTGCGATCATATCAAATAGTGTCGTAGTGCCGATACACATTTCACCTACCTCCCGGTTGTCCCTCTTTATTATAGATATTTTTTCATAGTATCGTGGGTTCTCAACTTATGCCGCAATTATCGATAGAATTCATTTTCATATTTGCTAATCTATTTTCTGCAATTTTTATACTAGAAAAAAGATAAATCATTCATAATAATTTCGATGCCCGTTTTTATTTATCAGCATGCTTCGTTCACCACAATTTTTAACATTTAAGCTTCTTTTCTTGAACCCGAGCAAATGAAGCAAATTCAACCAGTTTTGGCGTCGCATCAATACCTATGGCCAAAAGCCTACCATAAAAATTATGAATTTCCTGCTCTCTGCACAGGGGACGAAGAGGTTGCATTAAAACCATTTCAAGTCATTGTTAAATAAATATCTTCTTTTCTCCAGGATATAAAGTAGTTAAACTGTTGGCGTGATTTGTAATGAAACATATAGCCCTGCCAAATTTTTGAAACGCATAGCACTTATAAACAGAGGTTTGGAATTAAGATGGGGCTCTGATGATTAAATTGTAACTATATATAATGTCTTCGGACACCTCAGCTCCAGGGTATTAAACAAACAAGTTAGAAAAAAAAATTATTGTGATATGAAATTAACATACATAAAACAGGTGACTTGGAAGAGATCAAGCATTTGATTATAATTCACTCTTATTGAACCTGAGATAACGTACCCAATTAATCCTAGATGCTAGATGTAAGATTGTGTTTTGTCGCCTTTCTTTCTTGTTGTGTCATTATAAACAATCTTAGGATTATTACAATTATGCGAAAAAATACAATTTTTGTCACGGATACACATCAATATATCACATAGTTAAGGGACAATTTCATTCTACCTAGATTGCACAAGCAGAACAATATCATATAGTATATCTACATGAAAGCATCCAGTCTCATGTTTTTGCATGTTCTTGCATTGTATCAGAAACAAAATTTAAGATGCGGAAAAACACTTTAAAAAGGCCAAAACAGCCTCGAAAGACTTACACCTGGACGGCCAATTATTTTACAATGTGGCACGACCAGTTGAAACTACTATGATGAATTATTTTGTGATCATTAAAAAAAAATCATATACTAGTATCAAATATAGGTACAACTATATACAAAAATCAAATTTCTGATGGACCAAGATACTTATCTATGATATGACTTGCATGTACACCAACATGGATATTTGGAATTTTCGGTTTCCAGATCATAACAAGGAGCACATGGAGGTTGAGGGAGGGCAGGTGATGCTCACTCCTCCATGGCACTTGATCCCATCTTTGATGTTTTGGAGGTCCGTGTTTGCTCTGTTCGTATTCTGTATTGTTTTATGGACTTTTGATCTTGAATACTGTTCGTAATATCCGTATGTTTCGTTATTACAATCTGTCAAGGAAGCATATCTAGAAGACAGTGCTTATCTAGAATTACCTCGACTTTGCAGTTCTGTTAGAACCTTAAGCTTATCACCTTCGAATTTACATATCACTCCAAAGAATTTTAATTATTTCCTCTTGTGAGAATTGTCAGTGTAAAACCTGTATGTATTACAATTTCCACTTCAGTTGTAATTTGTCAACGAAAACTGACAAAAACTACAGAATGACAATATTCTAAATCAGAAAGTTGCGACTCCTGTCGGCCAAAGTATTATAGCGTATGCGATGTTTAATCCTAAAGTTGAAGTCAGTATTAGATTTCTTCATCTTTGAAGAATGTTCTGAAAAGAATTAAGTTATATTTAAAGTAAGTTTCCTATGTATCGGAGATACAGGGCGGGGCTTGAGGCGAGAGCGATAGCTCGACCGGGCCCCGCCCTGTATCTCCTCAAAACAGTGCAAACTACGTACTTTAAATGTCTTGTGACATGACCTTTCTAATGACCTCACATATTTACATGCGTATTTGGGTACATATCACTCAACCAATCAGATGATTTTGCAGAAAGTTGATTTAGTATCACATTTTAAGCATCTGCAACTGAAATGTCGAGTGAGGTGGACGTGCAGGTATTTAACATTTGAAATAATTATTTAGGGGATGCATTATATAATTTGTTTTCCAAAAAATTAAATGTAGATTTCATTGCGTAGGATTTTTTTCTCTATTCATCTCTTGCTGACATTTTTTCAACTTTAAGCTACGATTGAATGCAATACATTTTGATACGAGGTACGTAAGAATCATGTGGAAATATTTTAGAAACAAAAATGCTTTGGGGAAAATGTAATCTGAGAGAGGTGTCCGACAATGTCCTCCACCGGTCCTCATAAACATAATTGAAATAAACAGATGAAAGGAAGGGGGGTGGGGGGTATTTTACAAAGGTGATCCCAGCACTCACTTGTGCCTTCCATCCCACCCTTTTTTCTTTTTCCTTTCGTAAATGATTTTTGATAAACTTGTGTACATTATACGCTTTTTAATTTATATATACTAGGTTACGATATCACGCACATAGTGTCTTGCTTGGTTATAAATCTAACCTCACGAAATACGATTTTCCACTGATTATTTTTTTTTTATGTGGGGGGGGGGGAGGGTTTCAAAGTAATCATTTGTGATCTGTCAAACTCCCTGCTTTCTAAAATTTTCGAATCCTACACTAATAAATTCATGCTGTAAAATTTTACTCTTCATTCATCTCAAATTTTGAGTAAATGTTACCAGTTCTATCATGCGTATTGAACGATTGTTGTGTCTGTATACAGATACAGCTTTCCGTCATCGCTAAAAATAAACCGTACTGTATCGTTGATATTTTGCAGATACAGTACAGTTTTTGTTCATTTGCATAAGAAACGCCCTCAAAAAGTGTTCTGTATCGCAGTTACAATATGCTTGACTTCAAAGGAAAACTCGCCGGGTCATGTCACAATACAATTAACTGATCATGTTAAATTGTTGCAAATAGAAAAGAAGAAATTAACTTTTTATTTTATTGATTTCTGACCATCATATTTCTCTAGCTTTTCAGGAAAAATTTCTACATCTATTTATTAGTTGGCTCTATTCCATTATTCCATGGATCCATATGGTGTTATGCTATACTAAGATAACTTTTAGTTTTTTTGCCCTTTTGTCTCTATCAAATGTCTTTCGTTGCAATTAGTAGAAGATCGGATGCGTTTTCTTAATCTTCAGTGTTCAATTAACACATACACACGCCCCTTAACACACCATCATAAATCATGCAATTTATACAATGTTCTATAATATATCATATTTCATCGCTTTGTGAAAATCAGCGTCCAATGACTGTACTATATTGACTTTTCTTGAAAACATATCTCATTTCTCAAAACTTGACGTCACTTGTATGCATTCATCATTAAAGGCCTTGTCGCTGAATCTAAATTGAGCACCGGAAAATGAAGTCTGTCTCGAAGCCCAATAATTTCCTGTTACTGGTTAATCTGACTTATTAGTGTCCCGGTTATTATATATGGAGATACTATGCACGTTTCAGGGAAATGAAAATCATTTTGTAAAAATTGTTCATTTAAAAAAAAATGAAACTGAAAAAATGGATATGTCAAGAAATTTCGTGATGCTCATTTGTAACTTGAAAAAGTCCATTGATTCAATTTTTTCTAGTAATCGTCCTATTGAGAAGGAATAAATACGGTAATTATGGTTAGCCACTGCACAAAATTAACGTAATTGTATAAAGCGGCAAGCAATTTCAATCCTTTAGAAACCAAACAAAAAAATACAAAGATTTTCTCAAGAGTTCACTATCCTGTAAAACATCGATTTAGTTATGTTTCATAGTTTTTATCTAATTACTTGGGTTTGATTATTGGTTTGTATCAAATATTTACTTATGGAAGGTTTTTTTTTTATTATTATTAAGGACTTCAAATATATTAAACGTCTTTTCTAGAGCAATTTCACCTCTCATATTCTAGAGAGAAATGGATTGCTGTTTCGTGAAAGAGACAGTACAAAAATGTAACTTGAATTTTTAGGTTGTTAAAAAAGAGATCACGACCATTCAAACCTGATACTTTCTATTATAAAGCTTAAAGGATACCGATATTCTAATTCAAATAAAACGTCCTCTCGGTAGTTTTTGATGTGCTACATTCATACAGCTAATTGATTTGAATATGACTTTATCATTTATTCCCTCTGAATTATTCATTTCCAGTTGCATGGGAGTGAGAAATACTGCCTGTTAAACATCTGAATAACAAATCATCTCCAATAGAGACTTTTTTGCTAATCTATACAGGTCCATAAAAGCAAGTATAGCTGATGGGATTAACCAACTAACATAACTGGGCAAACATAAACAATATCGAATAACTCGTCGTAGGTTACTACTTAGAGGGAACAACAATAAACCAGGGAAAAGAGTTTTCTATTTTTAATACAATTTTAGAATTGAAATATTCTACTTCAATTATTGAACAAAAGTGATAGTCTCTCGTTGAATGAAAGTCAAAATTCTTGATTTTCATTCCCATCCCGAAGAATGCCTTGGCTTAGAGATAGTAAATAAACCATCCTGGTGGAGACTGGAAGCACCAAAGTTTCTCCAAATATGCTGTTGTAGTCCACAATTACAAAGTGATCAGTGCTTTGTTGTCTCAACTGCTCAACCATGATTTTGATTCATTATTTCATTAACGATGTTACAAAAAAAAATCAGATACAGACAAAAATCAAAGGAAATGTTTTTTTAAATATCATGTACATTTAATTTATTTCACTCATGAGGCAGGATTTTGTATTTCGAAATCTGGAAAATATCGAAGAATCCTATTGTATCCCTTTTAACTATAAAGCAGTGAACATCCTCTAAATAAGTATACAGTGGAAAAAATATTCAGGGGAACAAACAAGTCCCGTGCATGTAAATTTCCTTTCCATTTACCAAAGTTAATATAGTACACCAAGGGGGGATGTTTAGACCTTTTTTTTCAAAAGCTGATTTATCAAATTTATGAAAAAAAAATATAATTGTACCCATCTGTAAAAATATACTTATGCGTAATGGTAGTTTTTTTTTCAAATTACCGGTTAGATATGTGAAAATTAACTTATCTATTTTTAAAGATAATAACATTCTACGTTTTTGTAGGCGAAATTATTACCAGCTACGACAACCTACGTGCAATGGATGGAACAATCGTTGTTTACCTTGGTCATCGCAGATCCAACATAGTTGCTGTAGTGGACTTTCTTGCAAGTGTAATTTGTGGGGACAGAACTGCAGGTGCACGACTAAGCTGTGGGGTCGCTGACCGACAAAGCCTTGACACATTATCATGTCTGACAAATATGTTGATGAAATTACGGTTAAAATGGAGTTCATTTCAGAATCCTTCATGCTCAAAAATAAATATATTACCTTATATTTCCATTTTCAATTGTTTTTTCTATGATAAACACTACAAAAGTCCATCTTGTTAATTGGCAATACCTGTGGTATGTATATTTCTCCATTGAAATACTACTGAAAGATCAGATGTCCACTTGCATGTATATGAGTGGCGTATAAATACACTGAAGAAAAATAGATGTTTTGTTTAATTGTTTACTAAATAATTAAATATAATAAAACTATATCTTTTTATAAACAAAATAAAGAATGAATTATCTTCGGATCAAAAGCAAGTCGCTAGCGCAACGCTGTCCACTATCAGCGAGGCCAAAAAGTCCACATCCGTAAACAGCCTATCTGGAGCACGTGGAAAAATCGGCACAGCCACACTCCATCATCTGATACAGACATCGTCCCTCATTCATCCGACCTCGTAAGCAACTCAACTTCCTATGCTATATTTTAAAATTCGTAAGCAACTTAATTTCCTCTGCTATTTTAACATCCGCACAAATTCTGACCAACTCCCGTTTCATCAACTGCAACATTGCATTCAATATGGCGGCGGAGAAGTGGCCTAGGGCCTATACACGTGTTTGTGCTTCCGACAACCTAAATCTAGATCACATATATAATTTACGTTAAAATGATTGCTTTGATCATAATTTAAAATTCTTTTGTTGTTTATTTCATAAACGTTGATGTTTGACTACAGTAACTAAACAATCATTAAATTTGTTTCGTGTTTTATGGGACTATTTTTATAGCTATGCAAATTATCCCATGTTTCCCACTATTGTTGATGCCCTGGCATAGTCTCCTTACTAGATAGTGATTCCTGAAATATCCATTTAATTGTCATTTTGTGAAAACATATTAAAAGGAAAAATTTTCCTGAAGGTGTGGTTTAGAATGCATGCGTCGGGTGCCTGTAAATATTATACATCCACTTATCATGGTTGATTCTTTTCATAACATGTTTTACAGACCTTTCACATCTTTTCAGATAAATCTTATTAAGAAACTTCCTTACATATTTTCACTCAAAAATCATTATAATGACACGGATATTGATTTGAATAGGATATTAAAGGACCGACAGAAGAAAAATCACAAAAATTAAAAATATTAAAAATATGTTTGAAATAAAAATTTAATTACCATATAAAGCCAAATGATGGTCATAAATAAACACTAGATAAATTAAATGAGATGCAGTATTATTTTTATTACACATGTATCAATTATTTCATATCTTGAGTAACCTCTGAGTTTGCTCTGAACAATATATAGTAGTGATATCTTATTCTCGGGTATAATTATACAATTAAAGATCATGTTGAATATTAAAAACAAATTGTTATAAATTTATCTAGCTAACAATATATTTACCCCGCAAAAAATCTACAATAGAGATATTTTGATGCCAATCACATCCTTCTGAAAGTTCGGAAAAGAAAAATTATTCCAAACTTTTACCGAATTTGAATTATGCAAACTCTTTACTTGAGTTTAGTCAGCAAAAGAAATGCGAATCTTTAATTTGAAAAGTAATATATAAAAGTCATTATGATAAAGCAATTTGTATTTAATTATTAATTAATGTATGATCTAAAAATGGCACATAAAGGGAAAAGCCTGACTACTAGTAATACAGGAGGCAAATTTGTGTATAACTACTCGTTTGAGGACACGTGTTGTCCCTTTCTTCCAGCATAACTATACTGTTAAAAGATTAAATCAAATACATATCCACTACCTAAATTATAAAAAAGACTAAGAAGAATCTGTGAACCTGAAACGCTGTCCGCATAGGAATGATATTGAACCTATTGAACCCACGATAACACATCTATCATCCTCATCATACCAGACCTCCATCACATATAATTATTAGAGGAAAAAAGCGGAAAAATCAGTGATATTTAAAACAATCCTGAAAGCAAATATATTACCGTGAATATCTTTTTTTTTATCCTTTTTTCAAATTTCTCACTTTTCAAAGAAATTAAAATGATAATTATTGTGGAAGAAAATAACATTGTTGTAAGAAATATAATGCATTTTTCATAATTAATTCTTTGAATAATCAAAACGATACATGAAATATATGGAGATGACGACCAGTATTCAAGCTGAAAAGTCCACTTAAACAATACAGAGCGGGAACTGAGCAAACATGGACCTCTCAAACATCAAGGGTGGGATTGGGTACCATGGTGGAATGATCATCCCATTCCTGCTGTTTACATCAGCCATGTACTCCTTGTCATGATCAGGAAAAACCGGGAGAATCTGTTGACAATTCATTATGTAAATAATATTGTAATCTAATTAATATTTTTTAAAAAAAATGTCATTCATTATTTGACTTAATGAAAAAAGACTTTAAACGACGCATTTGATATTCTTGTTTCATCAACGTTTTTTCAAGTTTGAATTTTTCATACGAAGAGCCTACTCTTGTGTATCGAATCAAATGATAGGATCCCCCGTACACAGATGATGAGGCTGCTTATGAAAGGGAAGTAAACGATTGAAAAGTTAAAGTCATCATGTTTATCATAAAGCTTGGATATTAGATTACCATTAACAACCTTTTCGAATATATATGCAAATATTAAAAAGATGTGTACTCGTAAGACTGTCTTATGTCTTCTGTTAAACTCACTGAATATGAAAGAAAATAACTATTGTTTATTGATAATACGTCGTTGATAGATCTTGATGTCGAGTTGAAGGCCACAGCAAGTAATTTCATCTTCTCTTTAAGATTTTGAATGAATTCTGATTTATATGAGTACAAAAAATAGGTTTGCTAATAGCAATTGGTACTTATAGGAATTCCAACAGATTGTTGCAAATTGGAAGACGTGGTCTCCAAATCAAAACACATAGATGAAACATATGGGGATAACGAACAGAATTCAAGATCAAAAGTCCATAAAACAATACAAGATATGTATTATCAATAAAAAAAAATAGGTTAAAAAACGATAGGTATCCAGGCATTCAGAGAAATTGTCATGATTTTCATTCTAATTTTATATCTTTTGTCTTCTATTTCCGTCATGTATTCTATAATACATTATAGTGTAAAATGCTTTTGCTTTCATTGCAAAACACCACAAGTCACTTCTTATTTCATATAATGCTAATGAGCATTGGTATCTAAGGCTGGATTCAAGAAAATCTTATTTCTCTAAAACTGTATTAATTTTTTCCCTTTTATAGGGTACAAATGTCAAGTTTTACAAGACATTTTCTAAGACTTCAAAAAATCTTGCATCTTATAAAGATGAATAACATGAAAATTGTTGCATGAAGAAATTCCATTTTCAAGCTTCATTTTGACGCATTTCAAATTAAATATTAATTTTTGGAGTTATCCTTCCTGACTGAGGATCGGATATCCTTAACATTAATATTCCTTGGGGTTTTTAAGCACCCATGTCCTATTTACTGCTCGTAAATATTGGTACATGTACACTTGGTACATGTAAAACAATTGCTGGAACCCCCTGAATCTTTATTTGTAAAGTTTAAGTGACGTTCTGGAATCCAGAATAAATATGGTAATTCAAATTCAATTTGGTTGAGAATATTAAAATAATCAAAACTTACTAATAAACTTAAGAATTTTTCCTTAGAAAGGAAAATAAGGTTTAAGTCGGATTATCATACGTAGAATTATGCCTCTCTCTCTCTCTCTCTCTCTCTCTCTCTCTCTCTCTCTCTCTCTCTCTCTCTCTCTCAGACAATTGCAATTGCAATTGGAACATCAAATCATTTTATGGCAATAGAAATAGCGACAATGGCACATTCCTGCAAGAATCTTTTATGAAAGTCCAGTATCATGTAACACGCAGCTGCTCGTTTGAAGAATAATTTACACGGCATAAATCCCAATACGAGTTTCATTAAATCGATAGGAAAGGTTTGATTTACTATATTTGGCTATTGATATCACATACAGATAAATTTTTACAAAGTTCAAAGAATTTTCAAAGTTCATAAAAAATTTCTCTACGTAGTTTGGAAGGAAAAAAGACGTGTTCATAAATAAAGTTCAAAAACGAACTTTCATTATTTCAAAGTTTGCATTAACTGCCATTTATTGAAAAAAACTTGAAACTCATAAGGGATCTTTGTCATGACTGTTATTTAAAAAGATAAACCTTAACAAATCTAAAGTTCATTCATGTAGCATAATGAATGTATTAACAATAATTTTGTATTATACATAGACCAAATATACCCCATGATTTGATTTTTGTCTCACGTCAATAATAATCAGGTCTTCGTTACTTTTGCGTTAAATATTACCAGATCCCATTTTTAATGGACTACTTGCAGGAGCAAGAGTTTTTTAGCTCACCTGAGCCGAAGGCTCAAGTGAGCTTTTCTGATCAAAATTTGTCCGTCGTCTGTCGTTGTCGTTGTCGTTGTTGTCGTTGTCGTTGTTGGCGTTGTCGTTGGCGTTGTCGTAAACTTTTCACATTTTCATCTTCTTCTCAAGAACCACTGGGCCAATTTCAACCAAACTTGGCACAAAGTATCCCTGGGTGAAGGGGATTCAAGATTGTTCATATGAAGGGCCACACCCTCTTCCAAGGGGAGATAATTATGAATTAGTGAAAAATTATTAGCATTTTTAAAAAAACTTCTTCTCAAGAACCACTGGGTCAGGAAAGATGAAACTCCTGTGGAATCATCCTCAGGTAGTGTAGATTCAAGTTTGTTCAAATCATGACCCCCGGGGGTAGGGTGGGGCCAAGATGGCCGACCAAAGTTTTACATAGGAATATATAGGAAAAATCTTTGAAAATCCTCTTCTTAAGAACCACTGGGCCAGGAAAGATGAAACTCATGTGGAATCATCCTCAGGTAGTGTAGATTCAAGTTTGTTCAAATCATGACCCCCGGGGGTAGGGTGGGGCCAAAATGGCCGACCAAAGTTTTACATAGGAATATATAGGAAAAATCTTTGAAAATCTTCTTCTTAAGAACCACTGGGCCAGGAAAGATGAAAC